ACTTGCTTAGCTAAATGAATTGTGGGGTTCAGTCCCTGAGTCCATTATGTGCCTCTGTAACCCTTTCCACTACCACCCACATATTCCACAGGATTATGAGGTGCATAATAAATGAACTAAACTAACAATAAATTGACTGACAACCAATAAATCAACCCACTCAAATAAAACTGAAAATGAAGGTGACGACGTCCTGAACGTGTTCAAGTCAAGTGTTGAACTTTACCTTGATGTTTCCTTGTCTATCATAAACCTTTGTGCTCCTGGAACTTTTAAAAGCTGGGAAACATGTTTATCATTTTGCGGTAATTTTTCTAATAGAATAGTAAACATTTCAAACATCTTGCCAAATTATATAGTTCGGTGTAACATTGTAACTGTGTAACATTGTGTTTACGTTTAAAATATTTACGGTATTTGTAACTGTGTAACATTGTGTTTACGTTTAAAATATTTACGGTATCCGTGAAAATACGCGGTCAACTCTACGGTAAACACACCCGCGATTTCATTTTAGACTTTCCTGAAAATGACACTGAGTATTTAACCCCCTAGGTCTACTTTGAGCGGTCTATATGTCCGTCCCGTACCGCCCATGACCGTCTTGCCCGTAACGCTGTGCGTATTGGTTGCTTCAGGCATACTCTATACTTTGCTCTGTCTAGAAATCCAACATTATGTTTGTAACTCATTTTCTATGCTTGTACTGTACTTTTATCTAAATACAATGATCATTATCTCATCTTAGCGAGTGGTCTTTGTTGCAACCTGTTCTTGCACAAGACAGCACATATATGACTTATTGCTTATAGTCACTATTTCGCTTATAAATAAGTACATACGTGACATATTCCAAGCCATATTTTTATGGCTTTATTCAGACTCCAGCCCTTGAGACACCAGCGCTAGGATTCAGCCAGCATCCAGATACGAAACCTATATATCTTCCAACAATCATAGCAGCTTTTTATCTACTGCTATGATTAAAGAGTTTATGAGCTTGAATGTTTCACAACCCAAAGGTTTTTAACAACTTGGTACATATAGTGGCTATGAGCTCACAAAATGTTTAACAGATGTAAACACAGCTGCCATAACTCAGGAATAATGTAGCGGTTTCGTGAGTGGTTGAGTAAATGCTTGATGAGTCTTGGCCAGGGGCTGTGTTGATATTATTCCGCCAAACACACGACCAAACTACCACGTGTGTGTAGGGGGGGGGGGGACCTTCGACTAGCCACCGGCTTCCTGTCCTCGTCGAGGCCACAAGTGTTACTGGCTCTCAGGTAAATTCAGGTAATATATTTATGAATATAATACTAAATAATAGTTCGTGAACTACTGTATAGCTCTGTGTGTGAGCTGCTTGGTGATTTATCATCAATTATAAATTTATATATAAAAATGCCACATCCCTTGAAAAGTGATCACACAATTAGCGTTGATTCCAGGTTCCTTGCACGAGATGATTGGACAGAGCTCGAATTACCAAGTTAGGATTAGGTGGTCGAAATCCTGCCCATAAAACCCCATGCAACACATATATGGTGCCCTAAACGCTGTGTGTATTAGTGACTTTAGGCATAGTATATACTAACTCTAGCTAGAAATTGAAATTGAAATTGAAATTGAAAAAAATTTATTGAGGTAAAATACACACAAAGGGATGAGGTAGCTCAAGCTATTCTCACCCCGTTCAGTACAACGTGTTAGTACATACATAGACACACATCACAAACAATAAACCTGTTACCAAACATTCTGAGAGATAAACATGTACATTTCCTCCTTCACAAGTGGTATGGTATCAGACGTACACAAATACTTTTATGACCTAGTTATACGGATAATTCAACAAAATATTAGAGTCTTGGTGCAAAATTCTTATATCTCTCAAGAATATCATCAACCTTTCCTTTGTGACACATCCAGGCTATTTGCTCAGGAACAGTCCTTATCTCAGTGTTTCTATATACATTAATCAACGGACAATCAAGAACATAATGGGCAAGGGTGTGAGACCTTAACATACCACATAGTTTACACTTCGTGTCATTATCATGAACGCCTATCCCATATTCCCCAGTAATATTTGTACCCAAACCTGAGCCGCATGTACACAGAGTCACTCCAAGCAATTCTCTTTTTACCATAAGTGAAAAGGGTGTTTTGACTCACATACATGTAGTGTTGCATGGTTAGACTTCTCTCATACATTATCTCTCTCCTCTCCACTCCTGCCTGTGCCTGAATATTTCTGATTTTGCTTCTTATTTGTCTCATTGTGAATTCACATTCAATGTCAACTTGTGGTTTTGATGTGGCACGTTTGGCCAAGTCATCCGCCACCTCGTTGAGCACTATTCCAACATGAGATGGAATCCACATGAATTTCACACTATGACCTTTCAGCTGTATCTCAGCTATTCTTCTCTTACAATCCTCAACTATAGACATGAAGACTGAGTTTCGACTGTTTAAGGACTCCAGTGCTCCTCGGCTATCGACAAATACAAAAACATTTTTGTCGTCATGACGTACTTCCTCCAAACACGCCAGAATGGCCTGCAGTTCAGCTTGTGTGGATGATATATAATTACTAAGCCGGAGTTCAATTTTCCTGTCCACAGTCCCAAACTCCGTATATTCCCTTATTAGGACACCACACCCTGCCCTGCCATCCTCCGCCACCGACCCGTCGCAATATACATGTAAACTGTTGCCTCTTGGTAACCGGGATATCATGCTTCCATACAAACACCGCAATTGTCCCGGTTCATGATGAATCTTTTTCACATTGAGGGGTACAATTTCGACGTCTATTTTCTGTACTTTCCAGGGAGCAGACATATTACACTGTCGAGAGGGTTTACAGCAGTAAAGTACATCGTATTCCCTGAGGTCATGAGCTAATCCCCTCGTGTAGCGTGTCTCCCTCAGTTTCCTGGAAGTGTGTACGTCACTCAAGCAGGTCTGAACGCTCTCAAACAGCTTATCCCCTCCTTTTCTCCGCATGAAACGAATAGCTACTCTAGTGTTAATGTCACGGACTCTATCACACACACTCTGTAAATTTAATTCCATTCTCATTATTTCAATCATTGCATTTCTTTGACATCCAAGAATAATCCTCATAGCCTCGTTCTGTATCAGCTCTATTTTTTGAATTCTGCCTTGGCCTGTGTAAGACAAAACGGGTGCTGCGTAGTCTATCAGGGACCGAACAGTGCTTATGTATAACATCTGTAAGATAGGTACCCCAACATCTTTACCAGAAAAAGCCAGTGCTTTTAGAGGATGCAGACGGGCTTTACATAAGGTGCTCATATGATTTATTTCAGCATTTTTACTCTCACATGTGTATCCAACATACATGCCCAGATACTTGTACTTCTGAACACGGCTCAGTTCCACACCATTTAGAGTAAGTGTTATATTTCTTCGTTTCCTATACTCATATTTGGTTTTATCTGCATTTATAACTAAGCCTAACTTGTGACAGGTTGTACCAAGTATGTTAAGAGCAGTTTGAATTTTGTTCCCGGAAGTGCCTTGTATAAGAATGTCATCAGCATATATGATTGTCGTGACCCCTGGAGGATACATTTCTGATGCTAATCTGTTCATTAATACATTGAATAAGGTGGGACTTAATACTCCCCCTTGTGGGGTACCTAACTGAAACCTCCGTTCCTCAGACATGCATCCCTGATAATACACCTGACCTTTTCTGCCTTGTAGACAATCCCTTATCCAGTGTAACAATCTCCCTGTTATTCCCAGATTGGCTAATTCGTATAAGATTACTTCCCCATTGGCTTTATCAAATGCTCCTTGTAGATCAACAAAAACTCTACAATTGTCATCCATATTAGACAAACACTTTAAGAGACAATCCGCAGTACTTTTGCCTTTGACAAAACCAAAGAGATTACTGGACATGTTATCACCTACAAGGTAGAGTAGCCTATTTAACAAAATCCTTTCCATCATTTTACAAAAGCAGGATATTAAGGAGACAGGTCTGTAGCCTCCGTTTGACTTAGGGATAGGAATGATGACAGCCTCTTTCCATTTTCTTGGTAACTTTCCCTCTCTATAACTCATATTAAACAAATCAAGTAAGGGACTAGGTTTCATACCGGCTAAATAATTAAGAATGTCATACGAATGTCATGTCATGAATGTCATACCTGGCATACCTCCATCTTTCCCAGGAGCAGTAGAGCTGCCACTTTTTATAGCATCCAGTAGCTCATCGTGAGTTATCTCAGTGCACGCTATAGATCTTGTATTTAAGGCACATAAAGTTACTCCATTTCTAATATTTTCCCATGACTCAATGGTGATTCTCGTGTCTGCAGGTAAGGACTCCATACCAGCAGCACTAGCCCATTTATCTACTAACTCATTAGCAACCTTCCCTGGATCTGAGTGAGCAATGAATTTGGTCTTACAACCCCTGACTTTATTTACTGCTCTCCATATGTCTTTAAGGTTCTTAGTATTAACAATGGACTGAGCAAAGTCTTGCCAGTATCTGTCCCGCGCCTCCTTCCTCACCTGACTGCATTCCCTAGCCACTTCCAACATTGTATTTTTCTCTTCATCCCTCATTCCATTTTTTATCCATTCTTTATGTGCACTCCGTAGCATTCTCTCCCACCCCTTGACTTGCTGATCATTGGAATATTTAAATTTCTTAGGTCCATGCGTCTTGCTTCCCCTGCCCCCGTTATTTTCCCTCTGTACTAATTTCTCTATGTTCTCGACCATATCCTCGTAAAAACTATCAACGCAGAGCGGCGTGTATTGTTGATACCAATCTCCCATATTTTGAATAAAATAATTTGTCATATCTTTATTAATATTTAGCCTTTTCCTTTGAAAGTGGACTTGTTTTTTCCCCAGTGGTAATTCAACGTTCAAGGCAAAGTGGTCACTAAGTAGTTCCCGAACAACCCGAGCCTCCCCCATAATCCCCTGAGAGTTTAAAATGCAGGCATAGTCAAGCCGTCCTCCCCTGATGTGAGTTGGTTCATTGTTTCCCAATAGACAGGTATCTGGATGATCTTGTAGAAACTGTAACCACTTGACCCCATTAGTACTAATGCTACCCACTGTCCCAAGGCTTGTGTGCCGAGCATTAAGGTCCCCAATGACCAGTGAAGGATCAGTATAAATGCAGTCAGGTAGATAGTTAGCGTCGAAGCAGTTCCTGGATACATACAAATTAACTACAATAAATTCCCCTTCCCTTAATGATAATTTAACACAGACACTCTCTATACCTTGCGTTTTTGATGGCGGTTCTACTAACTCTGCTGGTATGGAGTTCTTTACATAAATTGACGTGCCTCTGATGTTATTTGCGGCGAAGAGGTGAAACCCTTTATAACCATTTAATTTCAATAAGCCTTCATTCCTATCCCCTGTCTCCTGGAGAGCTACAACATCAATATCATTTCCCATCACATAACAATGAACATCTGTAACCCTGTTTCTTAAACCATTAACATTCCATGACAAAACTTTCAGTCTAGGGTGATCCATTATTAATCAATTCACTGCCTAAGTCATCCCCTATAAATTCACTAAATGATAGCCATACCTGGCATAACATCTCCCACCTCCTCCCAAGTTCACCAGTAAAAGCGACATTGCGATTCTCAAGAGATTTTTTCAGCCCTGAGACGTCCATTATTGGCCCAAATGATTCCTTCATTTTATGTGTAATTATAGGGTTCTTCCTTTCACTACGACTACCATCATTCACACACACTTCACTTTCTTTCATTTCAGCACTCAATATTTCATTATTGCCCTCAACCACTATATCCTGATTTTTCTTTCACAGTTTTGTGAATTTCCTTGACCTCCTGAACGTTTAATTTCGCCTCGATGGACTCGATTCTCTGCCCAAGATTTTGGAGGAACTCACCAACTTTTCTTAGTTCAGCCCACACCTCCTTGGCCATATTATTATGACCCTCTTTCTGAGCCACAGTAGCCACTTCACTCACCGTTACATTGTCACTGCCGGAGTCCTGAGTGGTGGCGTGGCTGCTTGTTGCTTGAGCCTGACGAAGTAAAGGAGACTCCTTTACCCACGCATTCGTCCGGTTCACTGGTGCTGTTTGGGGCAGACTTTTTTGCTGTGCTCCCGGTGTCTGGGTAAGAGCTCTTGCTTGCTCTGTAACATTCACCGGCCGGATAACACCCATACTCGGCCTCTTGCTACACACAGCTGAGCTGGCATTGTTAGCTAGAAATAGAACATTCTGTTTGTAACTCATTTTGTATGATGTAAAAAATAAATGTACATCATTTTGTATGATGTATTATATATCTGGGGTGGGATTTAGCCTAAATAAACGTTATGAATATCATCATTATCATAGTGATAAGTTTTTCATCCATTCCGAGCTACAAGTAAAGAGCTTAAAGTGTCGTTATTGTATTGCTTTTAAATGGTATAGATTTTGTCGTTAGAAAGCTGAAGGATGTCTCATTTAAAGCTCGAGTTAAATATAATCATTACTTCATCGTATACTTTCTCTAATCTGTTATGTTAGGTGTTGCTATACTGAGATATTTTGGTTGTGGTTCAGGTGGAGGCGGAGACGGGCAGACAGCGGACCTACAGGGAGGTGTGCGGGCTGGTGCCGCGGGTGTCAGCCGGGCTGGCGGCCGCCGGGGTCGTCCCGGGCGATGCTGTGCTCTTCGTCACTCCCACCATCATGGACTACCCGCTCGTGCTTCTCTCCATTGTGCACCGCGGCGCCACCTGCGTCCCCGTCAACGCCAACCTCTCAATCGGTTTGTCGCTCTCAACCTTAAATTTTGTGATATATCTGTACCTATAATTGGAATTGCTCGTCTGTCTCCCGGATCGAAGTAGCAGGATGCTTAGGGCTTCACTTCATTTTTCCAAATAATCCCTGGGGACATAGGTGGGTCAGGATTGGCGTAAAAAAAAAAAAATGCTAAGGGATACTAGCGTACCGGACCAACGTCACCTGCCACAAAAATCTTGCAACACCATATGAATCCACCCAGAGTTATTAGTATTTTGTTTTGTCATATTATAAACAGCATGTACTGATCATGCCAAAATTTAAACAAATCTAATCATAATACTTATCGTTTAGCTCTGCTCTTTAACATCAGGAGTGCCTCAGGGCAGCATCTTAGGGCCTCTCCTTTTTTCTTATATACATCAATGACTTGCCAAAAGTTTCTAACGTTATGAAGCCTTTTTGCTGACGATACTACCTTCATCTTTTCAAACCCCAAATCCACACACTCAAAATAATATTGTAAATAACGAGTTAGAACAATTTCATCTCAATATGTTAAGAAATGGATTTTATATGATATAAAAAAAAGCGTTTGCAATTGGTACTGTTGATAACAATAACACCTACTAGTTAGCGGAACTCATGGATAATGCAATGATAAAGAGATGCAAGCACCTATCCGACGCCCAAAGAAGAAAAGTAGTAGTAAGGAGGGTCCACAAAGTGGATATGCAGCTGGTGCCTTCTAGGATTGTTGATTCCCACCTGGAAGGCAAAATAATAATGAGTGATTATGTTATTTTGCTGTATTTTATTAAATATCATATTAATATATTGCCCAATGCCAATATTTCATATGTCCTCCAATTTTTTTTTTTGGGGGGGGGGGAATTTTTTATTTTATTTTATTTTTTCTCCTTTGTTTCTTATTTGATTTTATCGTGGCTTCTTCATCTTGGAGAATGTGTACCGTCACTAAGTATGTGAAGTTGGAACGAGATTGGTCAACATATAAACATATTGTTTAAATCCCTAAACTTGCTAAATATTAACTCCCTCCACACATTCTCTTGTGTCATCTACATTTACAAAACCCTGTTCTTAAATGCAAACCATGCTCTGAAACTCTCCCTGGACAGATGTAATAGGACCCATTATCACCACACCAGAAATAAATATCTCTTTGATATCCCCAGGGTCAAGCTTAATCTGTGTAAACACTCTATGCAAATTAAGGGACCTAGTCTATGGAACTCACTCCCTAGTGAATTGAAAAACTGTAAAACTTTTGCCTTATTTAAAAGCAAAACTAAAAAGTACCTAACTTCATCTTCTTAGTTTCCTACACTGAGCTTTAAATTTGCTCTGTACCTAGTGTTACCCAATCTCCTAATTTTTATGTAATATCAAACAACCTTATCATTGTGTTCATTGCTGTCTTCTTTTATGTGCTAGCCATATGCTGTATTGTGACTACCAATTTTTGTCAACTACCATTCAAGCTGTCACTGCAATCAATCTTATATTGTTTCTGCTGTATTGTGACTACCAATTTTTGTCAACTACCATTCAAGCTGTCATTGCAATCAATCTTAGCTACCTATGTGCTTTAATATACTGTACCTGCAATTTTCTCTCATCTTCTTTTTTTCATTTCATGTAACTGTTATCATTTTTTTGTCTATAAATTTGGAAGTATTTACCTCCTTAAAATTTTCTTAGATTAAGGACCTGCCCGAAACGCTGCGCGTGCTAGTGGCTTTACAAGACTGTAATTACCATATTTGTATCCTCACATTCCTTATGTACATTCTTGTATATGCATAAATAAATAAATAAATAAATAAATAAATCAGCCACAGGTGGCAGAACCTGTGATTTTTTTTTTCACAGATTTCAAACTTTTTTTTCTTTGTCTCTTTAGGTTGTTTATGGTGAATGGGGACCAGATGAGGGCTTTATCACTTATATAAAGTATACTTATATATCTCCTAACCAATTAATTAAAATTATCTCTATATTTAGTTTTTTGGTGGTGGGGGTTATTTTTTGTTGACTTCATTTCAATTGACCTACAACCTTCACATATTCGAATACGAATGGTAATCAAGCAATATTTATTAAAGCTTACAAGATATGACATCAATTTGAACTACTATATTTATTGCAGAGAAGTTTTACCTTAATTTTTCTGTATGAACAAGATTTTCAACTTTGAAACTGAGAAAAACTTCAGTTTCAGAGCGATATCACCATTTTTACATATGTGCAAAGTTCTTAGTTCTAAGGTTACCATTAGAGCATTTATTCATAAACCCATAACTTTGAGAGTTATAAATTTTTGCGTCTAAATTTTACGCATATTTTGAAGGCTACATTGACTATTTTTTTTACAGTAAATTATACTCTAAAATAAATTTTCTATAATAGAAAATGTACATTATATGCCATTCTGAGCCATAATGAATATAATAAAAATTGGTGACATTTGAAGTGAGATACTCTAATTTAAAATTGTGAAATTTTTAAATTCGTTTAATATTTTATTTTCTACTATATTTTTTGTTCACGTTATGATGTTGATCCATTAGAAAAAGTTGGAGCATTTACCATGTATATTATGCACAACAAATTTGAGAGTGAGGAAGGTTGATAAATTGTGCATTTGATAGATACAAAATGAGTTAAAAGCAGAATGTCGGATTTCTAGATACAACAAGTATATACCTAAAGCCATTAGTACGCACAGCGTTTCTGGCAAGAAGATGCTACTATTTTGATGCCCTCATTTAAAGAATGAAAAATAGTGTACGTAACCCGTGTTGTACCGTACCCAGATGAGTTGGTGCACGTGGTGAGGGTGAGCAAGGCCAGCTGGGCAGTCGTCCACGAAGACTCCCTGGAGGTGGCCGAGGCTGCCTTCTCCCTCATGCCACCTGGCACCCTACGGCAGCTGTGGGTCCTGGGAGACTGTGCCCCACACAGACCTAACCTCACCCACCTCATTACCTACTCCCCTGAGCCTCCCTTCACTAAGGTAACCTACAATATCATACTAATATCATAATTTAAAGATTTGTCTGTGTATAGTCATAGCTGCCGTTTTTGGTAGTTGGGAGTATGCATACCCTATATTATTATTATTATTGTTATCAATAAGTGTTTACCCTTCATTAATGTCTTAAAAAATAATCCTTACTATTCAACACATGACTGTTTGTGTTTATAGCTTCTTGCTAACCTCTTGCATAAACATATTTACCTCACATGTCACTGATTACGCAAGCTTAAGCATTTAAACGACAGTAGACTGCAGTAAGATCACACAGTTAAAGCCCCGCTCCTGTGCCAGGCAAGTCCACTACGGGCTCACCACAGCCCGTGCTACTTGTAATATTTTGTTCCTAGTAGCTGAATCTTAAACAACAACATGGAGTAAGATTCATCAGGACACTCCAGACTATACTTCCGGCTGTCCCACGTTCCAGACTCCATTCATCCCCAGATCTACAGTACCAGCTACTGGTACTGGTTATGGCTTCAAACACCTTCCACTTATTGGCTATACATGCCCGTGCCTCCTCTTGAGGGGTGGCTTAATCTTTATAAATCATCAATCAATCTGTGTAAGATGATAGGCCATGGGAAAAGGCTATATCAAGAATTTAAAGGTCATATATGGAAGCATTTTTAAATATACAGAAGACAAATCTGTGCTTCTCTTTGTATATTTCTTAAGAAAACGCATGAAACTGATCTCAAAACTATGGGTGAATATTTTCACTACTCTAGGCCATGAGGCACCATTAAAGTCATCATGCCCACTATAATGTAGTGCCATCACATTCGGAGCTCCGCTTCTCAAAAAGGTATGAACACGACTGGCACATCGTTTTCCTTAGAAAACTTGACAGTAATCTAACCTGTCTTAATCATGTTTAAAATGTTTTTCCATTCATTAACGGGATTTTTTGTAGTTGGATCAACAAGCATTTGGTCGTTGTTTATGAGGACGGATTACATGGATTATGAGGACGGGCTGCATGGATTATGAGGACGGGCTGCATGGATTATGAGGACGGGCTGCATGGATTATGAGGACGGGCTGCATGGATTATGAGGACGGGCTGCATTGATTATGAGGACGGGCTGCATTGATTATGAGGACGGGCTGCATTGATTATGAGGACGGGCTGCATTGATTATGAGGACGGGCTGCATTGATTATGAGGACGGGCTGCATTGATTATGAGGACGGGCTGCATTCATTATGAGGACGGGCTGCATTGATTATGAGGACGGGCTGCATTGATTATGAGGACGGGCTGCATTGATTATGAGGACGGGCTGCATTGATTATGAGGACGGGCTGCATTGATTATGAGGACGGGCTGCATTCATTATGAGGACGGGCTGCATTGATTATGAGGACGGGCTGCATTGATTATGAGGACGGGCTGCATTGATTATGAGGACGGGCTGCATTGATTATGAGGACGGGCTGCATTGATTATGAGGACGGGCTGCATTGATTATGAGGACGGGCTGCATTGATTATGAGGACGGGCTGCATTGATTATGAGGACGGGCTGCATTGATTATGAGGACGGGCTGCAACCTAATTACATGCTGAACCTTCGGTTGTATTTGTTATTCATTTACTTTCAGCCCATCCTGAAAAGTGTAGAGCATATATAAATACTTTATGACTCTTCGAATCACATCATTACCAATAAACAAACTTTTAGTTAAATTAAGTGTTATTTCACACGAAACAAACACATGTTTAATACACGTAGAGAGTATATACTGAATGTTTGTTTTAATAATAATAATAATAATAATAATAATAATAATAATAATAATAATAATAATAATAATAATAATAAGATAATAATAATAATAATAATAATAATAATAATAATAATAATAATAATGATAATAATAATTCATTGTGTCGGGGACAGGCAGCCAGGGTGTATTCATACACGTTAGGCAAATATCAAGGTCCCTCCCCCAAGGTCGAACTACTGACCCTCCCTAGAATACAACCCCACAACTAGCTAATTAACTCTTGAACATCTACTTATTGCTTGGTGTGGGTGAACAGACGCATTAGGTGAATTGAAAAGCGCCCAACTATTTCTGTCCCGCCTGGGATTCGAACCCAGAATTCTCGATTGTGCATCGAGAACGAACCCGACTCTACTACCGGGACCCTAAATATAATATGAATATGACCCCTATAAATATAAGTTCATTTATCTTAAAATAGATGGGGTGCCCAGCGGCGCCTGATTCGACCTTCAAAACGGGGTGCCTTCTCGCCATGCCCAGTGGCTGGGGGGGATTGGTGCCCTGAAGCTACATAAACATCCTATACCCCCCGAAATGGCAAGGGGGAGTTAGGGGACAACAATTTTGCACCATTTAAGGGATGGGAGCTCCAAAACGCAAATATGTTATCGTAACACCTGTTAAAACTCTTAGGACTCTGCCACGAACATTTGATATCTGCTAACGGAAGGAGGGTCGGAATCAGAGCCGAAACCTCTTCAAGGGTAGGGGACCGAACTATCAGGGAAAAGCGCCAAGCCATTACAACTATATAGCACTAGAAAGGGGCCAGGATAACGATTTGGGATGGAACAGGGGACAGGAATGGTGACCAACCACTTGAACTGTCGGGGATTGAACGCTGACCTGCAGGAAACGAAACCGTCGCTCTACCGTCCAGCCCACGACCCCCTCCCCCTGACGACCATTCCAATACATCCACGAGTCACCTGCAAAGTTGGGTGAAGCTAGCCCACAGTGTCTGGCCTGCAACATTAAACAGCCAAGCATCTTTTCTATTCATGTAGAGTTTGGGTATAAGCAATGCTATGATTCGAACCTGTCAAGGATTCATGTAGACATCTTAGATATGTAACTCAGCATAACTAAACGACTTAATCTATTGAAGTATATATAACAAATTAAAATAATAACTTAGGTCTCCAGAGGAGTTTTTCTTTAAATATAAAATCAAACTAACAAATTTTGCATGTTACATGTTAACTTATTAGCAGGACAATCATTTATTATGAATAATTTAATACGAATCATTATGAATCTTTTATGAATAATTTATTATAAATCTTTTTTATTAATAATTTATGATGACTCGTTTATAATGAATCATTTATTTGAATTATGTATTATGAATCATTTATAAATATATATGCAGTCCGTAAGGTCATATTCCAACATAAATACATGAGGATAAGACAAGCGCGCTTGTACTTTGGTTAGGTTTTGCATAATAATCTAGACTAGGGAGTTTGGTTAGGTTTTACAAATAATACTAGGTTAAGTGATATGGTTAAGATGGCTTAGGTTTACATACACTATAGGCCGCTTGTGAACAAGTCACAACTCAAGCCAAAGCTTTGATCATGGGCAAATTGCAGTTCGAACAAGAATTACTTGTCCCACATGCAACGAGTCAACAATTAACGTAATGTCGGCGAACCTCTCCTTGAAGATAGACTGAAACTGTATGTTTACGAGTGGCAGAATTTGACGAAGACTAAAGTATAGACTTTTATGCGTCAAGAGCTGGCACTGCCGTGAGCTAACTAACATTGTGTCCGCAGGCGGAGGGGCTGGAGGCGTCGACTGCGGTAGCCATGATGCCCTTCTCCTCGGGTACAACTGGCCTCCCCAAGGGCGTCATGCTCTCTCACCGTAACCTGCTTTACACGCATATTCGGACCATGTGAGTTGCAAGAACATACACCACCATCATAAACACACACAGACTGTGCAAAGAATCATTGTTCATATCTTGGAACAGCAAAACGAGGTGGTCATAGATGGAAACTAGAGACGGGAAAATGAGGCACAAATATCATTTTTTTAAGTTGGAGTTGTTATTAAGTGGAATTGGTTGGACGTCGAAGTTGTTCAACGTAACTCGATGCAAAATTTTGAATGCAAATAAAGCGTGGGAATGATCAGTCATTGAGGTAATTTTAATACAGTTAGAAGTCCGGGTTTGGAGCCTAGCTCGATCCTGTACGTACAGCTGAGTACAGACACGCACACACACTAAGCCTCGCGGCTGAGTGGATAGCACTTGAGGGTCGTAGTCCTAATGGCTCGGATTTGATTCCCGGCGTAGGCGGAAACAAATCGGCAATTTCTTCCACCCTGATGCACCTGTTCACTTAGCAGTAAATAGGTACCTGGGAGTTAGACAGCTGCTACGGGCTGCTTCCTGGGGATGTGTGCGTGTGTGTGAGTTAGAGAGAAAAATGTAGAAGACATAATAGAAGAAAAATAGATCGGTTAGAAAAACAATCTAGAGACACAAATAGCAAATACACACACACACACACACACACACACACACACACACACACACACACACACACACACACACACACACACACACACACACACACACACACACACACACACACACACACACACACACACACACACACACACACACACTATCTCTCTCTAAACATATAAGATGTCTTCCATCCAGTCTTTCAAAAGATACAACATCAAAGGCTTTGCTAAATTTAAGATAAGGAATATCACAATCCTTCCCGCTATCAGCTGCCTGAAAAAAAGAACGAGGCAAATGATCTTCCTCCCGTATCAGAAACAGGTCAAACATTCAAAACTCTCCAAGATTTAAGAGTTAGAACATTTTTAGCGTGAGTCATTATTCACATCTACATTATAACCTTGAGTCATGTCACCCGTCGCTGGAGTCATGTCGCCCGTCGCTGGAGTCATGGCACCCGCCTCTGGAGTCATGACACAATATGTACACCAGTTGATTTAACAGTTGAGAGGCGAGACCAAAGAGCCAGAGCTCAACCCCCGCAAACACAACTAGGTGAGTACATCTTGTAAACCTGAAAATATCACTATCACGATAATGTTTTACACACACACATGACAGTTAAATTTTGGCAATAATATCTGCAATGACAGTGACATTAACGGAAAAAAAATTCGAATGTTGTGATCGTCAGGTATGAAAGAAGCCTCCAAAAGCGTGGTCGTGGTGTCCTAGGCAACGCTTACAAGTCCGTGCTGGTGATGTTGCCCGTGTGTCATATATACGGCCACCTGATGGTCCTTATAACCCTCCATCATGGGGGCGCTGTCGTCTTCCTCAGGAAGTTCACACCCAGGAAATATCTCCAAGCTATTCAGGATTTCAAGGTGAGGAAAAAGATAAGTATGACAATTTTACGATTAAGAATTGCCAAATGATTTTTTAAAATTATATGTATTTGTCATATATATATATATATATATTATATATATATATATATATATATATATATATATATATATATATATATATATATATATATATATATATATATGTATATATGTCGTACCTAGTAGCCAGAACGCACTTCTCAGCCTACTATGCAAGGCCCGATTAGCCTAATAAGCCAAGTTTTCATGAATTAATGTTTTTTCGACTACCTAACCTACCTAACCTAACCTAACTTTTTCGGCTGACTAACCGAACCTAACCTATGAAGATAGATTAGGTTAGGTTAGGTAGGGTTGGTTAGGTTCGGTCATATATCTACGTTAATTTTAACTCCAATAAAAAAAATTGACCTAACCTAACCTATGAACCTATGAAGAACCTAACCTATGAAGATAGATTAGGTTAGGTTAGGTAGGGTTGGTTAGGTTCGGTCATATATCTACGTTAATTTTAACTCCAATAAAAAAAAATTGACCTCATACATAATGAAATGGATAGCTTTATCATTTCATAAGAAAAAATTTTTAGAAAATATATTAATTCAGGAAAATTTGGCTTATTAGGCAAATCGGGCATTGCATAGTAGGCCGAGAAGTGCGTTCTGGCTACTAGGTACGACATATATATATATATATATATTAGTATATTTTGGTAGCAGTCTTTCCTGTAGACATATATTATTAAATATGACCGAAAAAGTAAAATTAATAATTCTAACACGAATTTTCTCTATCTTTCTTATGTTTCTTTTCACTGTTGATGGTAATTCAAAGATCAATTCTCCAAAATTCATTTTTATTTCTAGTCTGACGCGACACTTGAGCGCATTTCGTAAAACTTATTACATTTTCAAAGACTTTAGTTTACAAACACACAACTGAAACTGAATAGAGCTTTGCACATCTTCGAGTTTATATCTACATTTGGGTGAGGTGGATGAGGTGAAAACGAACTTTCAACAGTGGGTATTAAATGGGTATTAAATTCTAACACAAAACAGAACACGAAACAATGGGTATTGAATGGAAGTAATTGTAGAAAGCCTATTGGTCCATATTTCTTGATGCTTCTATATTGGAGCGGAGTCTTGAAGTGGGTAGAATATAGTTGTGCATTAATTGGTTGTTGATTGCTGGTGTTGACTTCTTGATGTGTAGTGCCTCGCAGACGTCAAGCCGCCTGCTATCGCTGTATCTATCGATGATTTCTGTGTTGTTTGCTAAGATTTCTCTGGTGATGATTTGTTTGTGGGAAGAGATTATATGTTCCTTAATGGAGCCCTGTTGCTTATGCATCGTTAAACGCCTGGAAAGAGATGTTGTTGTCTTGCCTATATACTGGGTTTTTTGAGGCTTACAGTCCCCAAGAGGGCATTTGAAGGCATAGACGACGTTGGTCTCTTTTAAAGCGTTCTGCTTTGTGTCTGGAGAGTTTGTCATGAGTAGGCTGGCCGTTTTTCTGGTTTTATGGTAAATCGTCAGTTGTATCTTCTGATTTTTGTCTGTAGGGATAACGTTTCTACTGACAATATCTTTCAGGACCCTTTCCTCCGTTTTATGGGCTGTAGAAAAGAAGTTCCTGTAAAATAGTCTAATAGGGGGTATAGGTGTTGTGTTAGTTGTTTCTTCAGAGGTTGCATGGCGTTTCACTTTCCTTCTTATGATGTCTTCCACGAAACCATTGGAGAAGCCGTTGTTGACTAGGACCTGCCTTACCCTACAGAGTGCTTCGTCGACTTGCTTCCATTCTGAGCTGTGGCTGAGGGCACGGTCGACATATGCGTTAACAACACTTCTCTTGTACCTGTCTGGGCAGTCGCTGTTGGCATTCAGGCACATTCCTATGTTTGTTTCCTTAGTGTAGACTACAGTGTGGAAAACTCCGCTCCTTTCCATGACTGTTACATCTAGAAAGGGCAGTTTCCCATCCTTCTCCATCTCGTAAGTGAAACGCAACACAGAATTCTGCTCAAATGCCTCCTTCAGCTCCTGCAGATGTCTGACATCAGGTACCTGTGTAAAAATGTCGTCAACATACATAACACATATATATATATATATATATATATATATATATATATATATATATATATATATATATATATATATATATATATATATATATATATATATATATATATATATATATATATATATATATATATATATATATATAATGCTTATGGAATTTGTCCGCACACATAACACTCATCAAATTACGTTCTTTCTCATGCATCAACTGTAATTTTAACACATGACAGGTAACATTCAGCCCACTTGTACCCCACCTGGTCAAGTTCCTGACGGAGACGCCGCTGCTGAAGGAGTATGACATCTCATCCGTCAAGTACTTCCATTCCGGAGCCGCCCCCCTCACCGCCTCCACTGCCACCTCCTTCACGAAGAAGGTTGTGTACCATCTACTCTTAGCTTAAATATGCTGCAAGAGTGATTAAATATCTTGTCCTCAAAAGTCCATTTGATCTAGTTTTGTCTGTCCGTTCGTGTGATCATGCGATCATGCTATGTCACCAAGAACACGCTACTTGACAATAACATTCACAACAGTACTCAGAAAGTAATCACATTAACGTGGTGAATCAATGAGAAAATCCGTAGGAGCCTTGACGAGGATTCAAACCTAAGCGCGGTGGGTAGTTCCATGCACACTTTATTTACTACGGTAGCGTAACATTCAATAACGTTCGCTCGCTATGAAACAATATCATCTTGCTTCAAACAACGAAATTCTCTTTAACATATTAATTAGTAGAAAACTCCAATCCTGTCCCCTCGTCCTCCCCACCATTCCCCATTCCCTCGTCCAATGCATTCCCAAATGATCTGATATTCTCATCAGAAAAGTGGGAACATCAAATGATCTGATGTTCCCATCACTGAAAAATAAGAACAGTTTAAAAAAACGAAATAAAAACAATGAAAAAATAAATTAAATAAACTATGCTCACAAAATGAACGGTATGGTAAACAACACAGCTCAATTCTAACGCAATGTCACACAAAATAATTTAATCAGAATGAAAATAAATCGAAATCTATGAAAATTCAATTTATCAATACAATCGGAAACATTGAAGTGTAATCGTGACATATTTAGTATAGGGTGTGTTGCTTTTACGTGCAATAGATTTCGCTGTTTTTCTTTTTAAAAAGCAGGTTTTTACCTGTCACAGACGTGGCATTTTTACTTATACTCACGAAATGAACGGTATGTTTACCTTTAACAGTACCTTTACGGTACCTTTATTCTACTTCTAATTGTTTCAATTCTTTTGTTTACTTGCATTTATTGTTGTGTTTTGCTATAATTATTCTCTAATTTTAGTAGACTTAATACTTTGTAAGCTTTTATTGTATTGTTATATTATTGTATTGTTGTGTTTTGCTATAATTACTTTCTATTTATAGCAGATTTAGTATTTAACTGTTCCTGTAATTGCTACAAACTCCTAAATAGCACCTGCTTATCATTTTACAACCAAAATGTTAGGTCACTTGGTAAACATTTTGATGATATAAATGCACTACTTACAGCACTAGGTACTAAATTATCATTCATCATTTTAACGGAAACTTGGCTAAGTAATGACTATACCCAACTACAATTTAGCTGGTTATAAAGCCATTCATAACTGCAGGCCTAATAAAAAAGGTGGTGGCACAGCAATATATTACAAAGATACCTTCATTTGCAATAGTGTTATTAGTGATAGAGACGACTATTGTGAATATACCTTTGCCAAGTTCTCCAGTAAATCCCTTAAATCCTCCCTGACTATCGGTGCCATCTATAGATTTCCTAATACCAACATAGCTTCATTCTCAGACAACGTAAGGAATCTTATCATAAATAACAATCTCAACAAAAATCACATCATTCTGGGAGGTGATTTCAATATTGACCTGGGTCTTCAAAACAACCCTCAAGTTGACTATTTCCGTAACAGCATGCACTCCTGTATGCTAATCCCCACAATCACCAAGCCCACCCGAGTCACTCAAACATCTGCCACTACCCTGGATCACCTATGGACTAATATAACAGCTCCCTTTACATCTGGGGTAATTTATGACAGAACAACTGACCACTATCCTACCTTCCTCATAGCAAACATGGACACAACACCACCAGAAACCAAGAAACTCTCATTCAGGCTACACAGTGAATCAGCTTTAGGCAATCTCTCTAATGCACTTCACAATATTAACTGGGAATCTGAATTTAATAATACACAGGATATAAACTCATTAACTAACCTCTTTCTCTCCAAAACTCTAAGCCTCTACAACACTCACTGTCCCCTCCTTACCAAACAAGTAACTGATAAAAGAAAAAATAACCCGTGGCTCACAAGTGGCATAATTAAATCAATCAACAAAAAACATGAATATGAAAAGAAATTTAGGAGTGGCCTAGTTACAAAGGAAGTAGTTAAAAGGTACTCATCAGTGCTTACCAGTATCATAAGAAAAGCTAAACTTTCATATTATGAGACTAGATTCAAAGAAGCAAAAGGCAACATGAAAAGCACATGGAATACCATCTCTAATATCCTAGGAACTAAACAACACTCCCACAACCAGATAACACTCTCTAAGGATGGCCTTACACCGTCATCTGACCTAGAAATGGCGAATGAATTTAATAGCTTCTTTTCATCGATTGGTGCTAACCTTGCAAGTAAAATCCCACAGACTCAGACACATATCAACACATATCTCTCAGGCAGCTATCCAAACTCTCTTCTCCTTTCACCAGTCAGCCCGACAGATGTTGTGTCCATCATACACTCACTAAAAACCAAAGCTGGGAACATCAGTGAAATCCCATCCATTGTATACAAGAGCGCCTCCCATGCCCTTGCGCCACCTATAGCTCTGCTGTTCAACAAATCCCTTGAGTGTCATACCTTCCCCGATATCCTTAAAAAAGCAAGAGTAACGCCAGTTCATAAAGGAGGTAATCCGGCAGACATAAACAACTATAGACCAATATCGAACCTACCAATACTATCAAAAATATTTTTAAAAATTATCTACAAACAGCTCTACTCCTATCTCGTAACGTTCGACATTCTTAGCCCCTGTCAGTTTGGCTTCCGCTCCCAAAAGAGTACCAACGATGCAATTATTAGTCTCCTTGATATAATTTACTCAGCCCCTGACAAAAATGAGTTTCCGATTGGACTCTTCATTGACCTGAGAAAGGCCTTTGATACTGTTAATCACGATTACCTCTTATGTAAACTCCATCATTATGGAATCCGAGGCCATGCACTGGACTATATCCAATCCTATCTTAGTGATAAACACCAATGTGTAGCCATCAATAATATAACCTCTCCCACTCTACCAATAACCGTTGGAGTGCCACAGGGCAGCATCTTGGGACCCCTTCTATTTCTTATATACATCAATGATCTGCCTAATGTCTCTAACATTCTGAAACCTATTTTGTTTGCTGATGATACTACCCTCATCTACTCTAACCCCAACCCACATACACTAAATAATGTTGTTAATAATGAACTAAAAAAAAAGTCCACTTATGGATGTCAACCAACAAACTAACACTTAACATAGAAAAGACCTACTACATCTTATTTGGAAGCAAATCTACAAATGCAATTCAGCTTCAGATAGACAATGTAAACATTAGCAATAAAAATGATGGAAAGTTTCTTGGCCTATTCCTAGACAAGAGACTCAACTTCAGTACCCACATACAACACATAACTAAGAAAGTCTCTAAAACAGTTGGTATACTCTCCAAAATCAGATATTATGTACCTAACTCTGCTCTCATCTCTCTATATTATGCACTAATCTATCCCTATCTCAACTATGGTATCTGTGCATGGGGTTCAGCCACTGCAAACCACCTCAAGTCCATCATCACCCAGCAAAAATCTGCTATCAGAATAGTATCAAATTCTGCTTTCAGACAGCACTTAGCCCCCTTGTTTAACTCCCTAAACATGCTAAACATAATCTCACTCCATAAATTCTCTTGTGTCAACTACATTTACAAAACCCTGTTCTTAAATGCAAATCCTGCTCTGAAACTCTTCCTGGACAGATGTAATAGGACCCATTATCACCACACCAGAAATAAATATATCTTTGATATCCCCAGAGTTAAACTTAATCTGTGTAAACACTCTATGCAAATATAGGGACCCAGTTTATGGAACTCACTCCTTATTGAATTGAAAAGCTGTCCAACTTTTACATCATTCAAAATCAATACTAAAAAGTACCTAATTTCATCTTCATAGTTTTTCACCTTTTGCCTTAAAATTGCACTGTATCTATTGGTATCCAATCTCCCAACCTTTATGTTCCCAATTTGAACATCTTTACCATTGTGATCATTGCTGTCTTCTTATATGTGCTGCCAATCTGCTGTATGGTGTTTATTTGAACATCTTTACCATTGTGATCATTGCTGTCTTCTTATATGTGCTGCCAATCTGCTGTATGGTGTTTATTAATCTTGTTTATCTGTATCTATTGCTACCCAGTCTACCAATCTTTATGTACCCAATCTGAGCATCTTTACCATTGTGATCATTGCTTTCTTATATGTGCTGTCAATCGGCTATATGGTGTCTATTAATCTTGTTTAAATTACCAATCAAGCTGTCAATGTAATCAATCAGAGCTTTAATATAACAATGTGCTTTAATTTACTTACTAAGCTCTCTCATCTCATTTTTCTCTTGCAATGTATTTGTTATCATTTATCAATTCTGATAGAAATTACCTACTTAAAATTATCTGTTAGATTAAGGACCTGCCCGAAACGCTGCGCGTACTAGTGGCTTTACAAGATTGTAAATACTGTACTATTCAATGTATTCTCACAAACCCAATGTACCTTCTTGTATATATATAAATAAATAAATAAATAAATAAATAAATAAATAAATAAATAAATAAATAAATAAAGTCAAAATTTCAAAGCAATCAGTAAAGAGGTTTCCCTCACATGAAAACTCATGAAAAACTGCTAAAAAAAATGTTTTTACCTGTCACAGACGTGACATTTATATATGTATATAAAAACCCGCTCGTATGCGAATGAAACGTTGTGTCAGAATTTCAAAGCAATCGGTGAAGAACTTTCGGAGATTAACGATTTTGAACCAACGAACATTTACATTTTTATTTATATAGAAGATGGTAATAAATTAATATTATTATACAATTGATTTATGTGTATAAAAAACACATGTTTAGTTAGTCTTTCGTGTAATGTGAACAGATGTCAGTGTCAAGGTATTGACGGGTTTTCATCACCCACCTGCCCTAAGGAAGAGTGAATGGCATCCAGGTAGAAAAATGTATGACTATTACCACAGTGTAAATTGTAAAGTGGTTATGG